ACAAACAACAGCTAAGGACGATGGAAAGAGAGCATGTCAAAAAGAAGATTAACAGTATGAAGTAGTTCAAATGGTTTTGAACACTCGTACCACCAACTGTACCGCTTTCAATAAATCGTGACGCCATTTTGTTTGAACACGCATATCGCGGATTACTGAGTACTTACTTGAACGACGGCGACATCAAGATCAGCGGAGTGTGATCAAAGAAGCCGAGGCAAGGCTGAAACAACCTGAACAACGACTTGAGAGATGACGACAGCGACGCAGGGTCAAAAATGAGTCCAGTGAAAGCGACGCAAACTGAACTCTATCTATGCTCATTCCGCCAACAGTTTCTCTTGTAAAGACGCTGTACATAGGCTGAATCGCCTTTGTCCAGTGATTTGCAGTCAATACAAACTGTTCTTGACCTGTTCTAAGCGTTTTCTTATCCATCAAAATCCATCACGAAGTTTTTGTTAACGGAGGAAGTACCTCCAAAGTGCACACTATGCTCCGGCAACTATGGTACAACACACAGCTGCTGGCGGCACGGGCAATGATGGCCAGTGGAGTGAGAGGCTACGGAGAGAGATTAACAGGTCAGCCAGATACTCACTGCCGAAGCAGGTATCTTGGCGGACCCAAGAGCGGTAGTCACGTCCTAGAGACACAGACCACAGCCCTGAGTAGCCGGAATTGGGAGTGGCCAGCATTAGGCAAAGCCCGATTTTGCCAGTGAAGCTTCGATATTCTGCCGCAACATTTGGCTGGCTCATCGTCGATATTTTTGCGTTGCATTTTTCCAGGCCACTCGATATTTTGCTTCCTTTTTGCTCCAAAATATTTGTCACGTGTGGGAAAACTGACCGAGACTCGGCGAGAGCGGGTCAAGTGTTGGCAAAAATGAGAAAAAGTGAATCACGTGTCGGTAAAACTGTGCGAAAATGAGTCACATGTACTGTATACATGTAAGTTTAAAATCTCCCAATTCCCAGCGAACGCACCGATATTTCGCTCCGTTTTGCCAGCAAATTCCCTTTCAAAATTCTTCGATATTACGCTAGCAGAATTGCTAGCAAAATCGGGCTATGCCTAGCCAGCACCCATTACGTACTTAATCAAAGTACATGAGTGATGTGCAAGTGGGAGGTCAGGTGGGTGGGTGAAAACCCAGAGATCTGGCCAGACTAGTCGAACACAGAACGGATCGAAGGAGGGAAGAAGAACGTCCCCCCTGCCTTGTTGAGTGACACGTCGAATGACATGTGTAGTGTATGTGCTGATGATACACTCATGGACATTTCTCACGTCATCATTATCGTATTGACGTCAAACCATGCGCAGATCATTTTTGTCTGTCTGCCTTTTTTGTATTGACACACGTGTCTCCTTGTTCTTGTTCCGTTGACATAATTTACTTGCAATTGTAGTTGGTCTTCTTCTAGTCTCCATGCAATCGATCATAGAATAAACCGAACCCCGTCTCTAGCTGAGACACTACACCATGACGTAGAACGCCATGTAGAAGGAAGCTCCATGATTCTGAATGAAACAGATCTTCTCTTGCGACGGGCGTATACATGGTACATGGTGTGTGTGTGTACGTGTGTATGTGTGTGTGCGTGTGTGTGTGTGTGTGTGTGTGCATGTGTGTAAGTACGTTGTGAATGATCTCCCAATCTTTTTGAAGTCACTTGAGTTTTTTCTTCGCATTCTTGAGACCATGACCGCCTGCTATTGTTACGTGTATCACAAATACTCACATAACTGGTTGCGGTCCATCACCATGCAAACCGATCTGTTCCGACGGCCTGACCCCAGGCTTGACTGGACAGCAAAACAAACGCGTATGTCAGAATACGCGTGCACGCACACGTGCAGCACGCGCGCGCGCGTGCAAACACACACGCACACACACATACACACAAACAGACACGCACACGCGCGCACACACACACACACACACAAACACATACACACACACACACAACAGTTGTCAACTTGAACATACACACATACATGTACACACATTACCTGCAACACACAGCAACTTGCATGTACGGGGAGTGCCGGCCAGCGGAGTGAGAGGCTACGAAGAGATATGGGTGGACACTGCCGGAGCAGAGTCTTGGCGGAGCCAAGTATGTACAAGAGTCTGCATCCGAGGGACGGCGACCGAGGGCCCAGAGTAGCCGGAAATGAGCGTGGAAAACACCCCTTTTATCCAATTTATCAAAGTAAATGAGTGCAGAGAAACGGGAGGTGGGAGGGCAAAACACAACGAGCAGACAAGAATGATCCGCACACAGAACGGATCGAAATTTATAGCGAGGCGAGCTCTAGCAAGTCACGTCGAATATCGCGTCGAGTGAACGTCGCATGTCGCCCACGTTGAGCGCCACATACAAAATCCACGGTGAACGCCACATCGCACGCCGCCCACATCGAAGGCGAGCGCCACGCATGGATCACGCTCAATGTCAAGTAGAGTGCCCAGTCGCATAGAGTACCACGCGCGCGTGCATGCACTATGTTGTTTGGCTGACATGGTCGCCGCGACGTGATCGTATCCCGCACCAAAACATCAGCATACAGCAACAACACTTTCACACATAGCAGCATAGATTGAGCGGTAGCACGAAGCTGTGTGCACCCATTAAAATCTGCATTATCACCTTAATACTATTCACACCCACACGCGCGCGCGCACACACACACACACACACACACACACACACACACCACACCACACACACGTGTACACACAAACACGTACACACACATGTACACAAACGCACGCACACGCACACACACACACACACACACACACACACATACACACACACGCACACATTACATCTACCCAATGCTATAGACAGCAAGCTGTTTTGGCCATAAGGACCTCATCAGTCCAGCTACAAGCTGTAAGTAAGCCTAGCTACCAGCCATGGTGAAAAGATGGAATCACAGACATTTTTAAGATAGCTCGTTGTCCTAGCGCCAGAGTGCTCTAACTACGGAATGTAGCGGGCAATGCGTAATGCAGCTGCACTAGAGCAGCCTACCGAAAGGGAGTGGAAAATAAGGTTTACGTCAGACTCAGTTAGACTGCCATGACCTGGCAGCCCTGAACAGCTTCTGAACTCATGCTAGAACATCCAGTGCAGAACGGGCCATGAAACGCAAGTGACAGGGTGGAGACTTGGACAGCCCGAATTGCCAAGCATGTAACCATAGCAACACACATGTTATGTCCTTAGCCTAGGGACCGTCCACGGGTACTAGCTACTATTGGGCGTTGAATATTGAAATGAATATTTTGTTAGACTTTCTTTTACCTGCAGGAAGAGTGGCTGGGTGTGCTGGGGCTAAAAAAGTTTCACTTTGAAAAAAACAATCGGTAACCTCGGACAGCCCCTTACCTGATTTCTCGGAACAAACAACTGCAACGCTTTCTTCTGGTAAGAATGCCGGTGGATTGTTAGCCCATTCTCGGAGGTCCACCATTGGCTTTGTGTCGCGTTCACGCTCGTCCCGGAGCATCACAGCGGAATTATGCTCATGACCACCTTTGACGTGAATCCCCACAACATAGCCAGTAGCACAGGTCGTTTCAGCTTCGTCTTCTTTGGGCAGAAGGAAGACGGGCGAGCCACTTTGCCCAGGGGAAGAATCAACAAAGTGGTGAAGCAGCTGATCGTGGCCAAACTCAGCACGGCGAGGCTCGTCAACCCAGTATTTGCATTTCTCGGCCGGCTTTTTTATTTTTTTACCATCATAGTAGGTGTGGAGTGGATATCCGCACATGCGGACGTCATCCTCCTTCTTCTTGCACTGGGTCGCAACGCCAAGAAGCTTTTTATCTGCCCATTTCACCAACGGACAAACTTTGCTCGTCTTGACCGCTATTATCCCATAGTCGTGTAGATGTCGATGTTCATGCTTCTTCGTGGCGTTCTCCTTGTACCAGTCAGGAACGATCAGGCAGCCATTCTCGTTCTTGCGGGATATCTTTCCATTGGTTAGGAACTTCTCCTCAGATAAATCCGTGTAGATTTGTACCCAGCACCACTCGCCGCAATCGCAGCAGACCAGATTATGTGCGGCTGTGGCGAAGATGATGTAATCCTTGCTAGCACTGTTCAGATCGCTGAGTAGGAAGCACGTTCCTAGACAATCTTCTCTTATGCCCACTTGCGTTTTTTTGTCGCAACGGACGCAGCCGCATTTCAGAGCAAATATGGAATGGAAGGGACTGGGCGTTTCAGCACTTGGCTCGGTCACGATTACTCGCTCGTCATGCTTGCCCTTTACTTTTAGGCGCTTCTCTGCAGTTCCAGCCGTACCCGCGCCTGGTTGGGCCATGACAGAAGGTTGCCCCTCCGCCATTATGCTACTTGCTAGTTCAGGTCAGCGCCCAGTTCACGACTCCCTGTAGCTGTGCCGATAACAAAAGCTCGCACGGTCGCGTTACCACCTGTGCCGTGGTGAGATCGAGAAACACCAACTCAACTGGTACAGTCGTCGCCAAAAAAATCCGGCCAATGCCAAGTATACGCGTACATAGGTATGGTAGGTAGATCTACGCACGCGGTACTTCATCGCGGGTTCATGCATGCACTGGATCATGGAGTGGCACATGCACTCGACTCTAGTCTATCTCTAGCCTCAACTAGGCCACTGCCACTGGACACCACTGATTGCCACTGAACAGTCTGCGCCGCACTCTGCCTGCTGCAGTCGGGTTGAGCACTGCGCCGAGCCTGAGTCTGAGTGAGTGTAGAAGGCGACGGTTTCAAATAGGACATACCGGTAGGTTGCAAACCGGAACGGACTCCATATTCACTTTCTCTCTTAGTATTTTGATTAGAAAACATATGTCACAGTGAGACTACGATGTGTTATAACTTATACTCTGAGCCAAAATTTCATGGCTCTGCGATGACCAGAAGCGCCACATCAAGCAGGTGAGTTTTTGACGTGTTGAGTTTTACGACTTTCGAAAAATCATTTTCTTGTCGCAGGTAAACAGCGGCTCGCCTCTCGCCGCACACCAATCGAAACTAATGGAGAAGCACACACAAGGCTTATTGTTATTCTGTACTGGTTTAGTAGTCTAGATACAGTGCAACGAGTGTTAGTTTCCAAGATCTTTACAAGACTGGCGAACACTAAATGTCATGAAGAAAGTGAAGAGAAAGGAGGTTTATATAGGAAAGAGATTGTGATAGAAGACTGTGCAATGAAGTTTGTTGTTTTGTTAGATATCTGACGTGTGCTGTTTGGAAGAAGTGTTTGGATGCAAACAGAACTTACAAGAGATGAGTAAAGACTACTTTTCTACAATAGCGTTGTAGGCGAGGAGTGCGTAACATCAAAAGATGTCGTAATGTGGATTGGAACTATGCTAGCCAAACATTACGTAATTATTATGGTAGCGAAGTACGTGTAGTAGGTATTACAATGTGTGCGAGAGTATGGTGAATCAGTGTTTGTGATGATGAGGAAAATATGACGTGTACGTGCAAACAAATGATGATGTCATGATGCGAGAACGTCAGAGACGCTACAGAGCTCCCCTCCTAGTGAATGAGTAATGAGCGATAACTAGCGCGATAAAGTGAGAGCAAGCAAATGGGATAAGCGAGAGAGTGTCAGAAATAGGCGGGAAATCTGACTTGACGACCAGCTCGTGTTTGGCGTGGCGGAGGCACGTCGAATGCGAGCGATGGCGTCGGCTTGGTCGGATGGCAATGGTCGACAGACTGGTTGTCATGGAATGCGGGTTTGAGTCGGTCGATGGATACTGTGTCGGAGCGGCCGTTGAGGTCGAGGCGGAAGTACTTATCATGACGTTCCAGGACTCGGTGTGGACCAGTGTAAGGACGTTGGAGGGGCGTTCGTGTTGCATCTGTGCGAATGAAGACATGAGAGCATGTCGAGAGGTCAGCTGGAATGAACGGATGCTGGGTGGGTGGCTTGCGGGGTTGTGTAGGGCGGAGCTCGGACATGGCTTGTTTGAGGCGGCTGACATAGGACGTCGGATCCGGAAATGGCTCAGGCTCGTCAGTGAGGAAATCACTTGGCAGGCGGAGGTGGCAACCGTAGACCATTTCTGCAACTGAGCAGTTGAGGTCAGCCTTCAGGGAGGAGCGAATGCCGAGCAGGACTAGTGGCAGATGTTCCGTCCAGCGCTGTGGATTGTCGGAAGCTCGGAGTGCAGCTTTCAGTTGTCTGTGAAAGCGCTCTACCATGCCGTTGGCAGCCGGGTGGTAAGCCGTTGTGCGAATGCGAGATGTGCCAAGTAGTGACATGAGCGATGACCACAGGGATGACTCAAATTGGGCACCTCGGTCGGTTGTGAGCACAGTGGGAACACCAAATCGGGCGACCCAGGTGGCAACAAACTGGCGAGCGACGGTTTCGGCTGTAATGTCGGGAATAGGTACTGCTTCGGGCCAGCGAGTAAAGCGATCTACCATCGTCAAGAGGTAGCGAGACTCACTAGAAGATGGAAGCGGGCCTACGATGTCGACATGGACATGGGAGAAACGGGCATCAGGTTGCTTGAATGCACTTACGGGAGATGTGGTGTGGCGTTGAACTTTAGACTGCTGACAAGCGTGGCAGGTACGACACCACTCACTAATATCCTTGTTCATCGCGGGCCAGACGTAGCGAGCTGTAATCAGGTGCCTGGTAGCGCGGGTACCAGGGTGGGAGAGGCCGTGAAGCGAATTGAAAACAGCACGGCGCAGCTTGGCAGGTACATACGGGCGGGCAGACGCAGTAGAGGTGTCACAGATGAGCGAGTGATCAGTCATGGGCAGAGCTATAGATTGCCAGCATAGCGAAGTGGATGGATCCTTACCAGGACTGGGCAAGTCTGGATCATCTTGTTGAGCGGCGGCAAAGGAAGCTGTGTCAATGGCAGTGATGGCAGAGACGGGCTCATCGGGTAGGTGGCATCGTGACAGTGCATCAGCGGCAGCATTCTGAGAACCCTTGACATGACGAATATCTGTCGTGAACTCAGCAATGTACGACAAATGGCGCTGTTGACGCGGGCTGTGGGTCTGTGAACGGCTGTGGATGACATTTAGTGTTCGCCAGTCCCGTAAAGATCGCTGCGGATCGCCGGGCCAGTACTGCGGCAGTCGGAAGGTGATGGCAGACACCGGACGGTCCGGTGCGTCGTGTTGGTCGTTGCGGGCGAGTGGTTGGTTTTGGGCCGGGGCGGAGGAGCTAGCGGCAGCTGAAGCTCCAGAGGCGGAAGCGGAAGAACCATCGTCGCTGGACATATTGCACTTTACTCACGTCGGGGGTCACCAATTTAGTAGTCTAGATACAGTGCAACGAGTGTTAGTTTCCAAGATCTTTACAAGACTGGCGAACACTAAATGTCATGAAGAAAGTGAAGAGAAAGGAGGTTTATATAGGAAAGAGATTGTGATAGAAGACTGTGCAATGAAGTTTGTTGTTTTGTTAGATATCTGACGTGTGCTGTTTGGAAGAAGTGTTTGGATGCAAACAGAACTTACAAGAGATGAGTAAAGACTACTTTTCTACAATAGCGTTGTAGGCGAGGAGTGCGTAACATCAAAAGATGTCGTAATGTGGATTGGAACTATGCTAGCCAAACATTACGTAATTATTATGGTAGCGAAGTACGTGTAGTAGGTATTACAATGTGTGCGAGAGTATGGTGAATCAGTGTTTGTGATGATGAGGAAAATATGACGTGTACGTGCAAACAAATGATGATGTCATGATGCGAGAACGTCAGAGACGCTACACTGGCCGTCGTGGAGCGATAGCAATTACCTAATTTCAGACTAAGAGTGAATTATTATTTGACGTGCACTCTAAAACCTTTCCGATTTGGAGCCACCTCTGATTTGAAGCGAAAAATTGGGCAACTTTGAGGCAATGGGTCAACACAAAGGAGTGGCTTCAGTTCGATTGACTCTGGCCTCAGATCAAACTTCAACATGCCAGTTTCCTTCCACAAACATATTTCCAGTGAACAATCAACGCTGATGATCGGTTTGGGTCTATACAAATTATTAATTTGACTGACCTGTCAAGCCGTTCCGGTATCCACTGCACGTATCGAACCGTCGCCTCTTATTATGGTGTATGCGGGCCTAGCCTGTCAGCATGTGAACAGTGAAGTAACTCACTGCAGTACATGCAGACCCGGTCTACCAGTACCACTACCACTATGAAGTATGATGCAGTGCATGCGGCCCAGTACAGCTACCGGTAGCTAGCATTGCATTTGGCCGGATTTTTTTTGGCGACGACTGTAGATCTAGACTATAGACTATACTACCAAGAGTCCATAACCCAAGTCAAGAGTATGCAACTGTGATTATACGTGCATGCGTGGGGCGCTGCCTTCATTACGTAACTAACTAATACTTGCCTCCATCACGCTCTGAGCTATAATTATGAGAGAGGGACTAAGGCCGCGGTCACACATGAAAAGCTTGCACCGCTTTTGCGGAGGCGGAAAGCGGAACTACCGCAGCCGCTTTGGCGGACCACACGACGCAGCGGTCACACATACAATGATGTAGACTACTGTCCTCCTCAACGCTCCGCTTTGGCGGAGAGAATGCAAATGCAGCACGTCCTATGAAATTTTAGATGTTCTTGTCCGAGTTGAGGCGACCTTCGCTTGTACAAGTAGAGCTATCGTGGATCGCTGACAGGCTAGGCTGCTGAATGTCTCCTGTCAAGTACACTCGTGGATTTGGGGCGCATTCACTGCGGCCCAGTACAGGTGTATTTGAATATTACTAGTTTGGTTTACATCAATATCAAATTCAAATAGTTGTATAGTAGGGTGTCGTTGCCTCCTTCTTGTCCGAGTTGAAGCGACCTTCGCTTGTACAAGTAGAGCTATCGTGGATCGCTGACAGGCTGCTGAATGTCTCCTGTCAAGTACACTCGTGGATTTGGGGCACATTCACTGCGGCCCAGCACGGGTGTATTTGAATATTAGTTTAGTTTACATCAATATCAAATTCAAATTGTTTTATAGCAGGGTGTCGTTGCCTCCTCCATGATCCATCATCGACCCAGCGACTGCGTGGATGCCTGCAGTTGCAGTGAGCGTGTGGCAGAGTACTCTACTACTCCCTGGTTGCAGTCCTAGTGTTGCATACTCTGGTGGACGTATTGCTTGGAGAGAGTTGGAGATCGTCCGCGATCGGGGCCAATGAGTTGGGAGACGGATTCCCTCACCAATTATCCACTCATAACGATGCAGTATTGTTTGCGAGATCTCCAGAACATACAGTTCATTGGCAAAGAAGAACAACATGAAAACTGAATACCAAACGGCAACCAAACAACACCAGAACTCAGTGCAGAAGTAGCACACCAAACTCCAAAGCCATCACCATGCAGGTTCCGCCAAAGCGGATCCGCGAAAGCGGAGGGTCCGCTCGCATTTTTTTGGCGTAGCGAAATCCAAACTTTCCGCCAAAGCGTAACTTACGCCTCCGCCGTTGCCGAGGCAACGGCGGAAGCGTAAGTTACGCTTTGGCGGAACCGCCAAAAAAAGTGCATGTGTGACCGGGGCCTAAGGGACGCTGGTCTAGGAGGGGCGGCAGTTTTTTCACCATGGCAACCAGGAGTGCGCGCACGCGACAGCCACCATGTACCAGCGCAAAGCGTTGTAGGCTGCGGAGATCCGGAGAGCGGGGAGAGCGAATGAGACACTTCGCCGTGACCCAGGTGAGCGGCTGAGCGCATACATCTCGTAACTCAAAGACAGAGTCAGGGCAGAAGCGAAAAAAGCACTGTCTTTGAATGAACAAGACGTTGGATTAGTTCCTGAAAGTCACTCTACTTGGATTGGTTGGAACTAGCTTCTTTGCTAACTGTAATGATTTTGTTGAGGAGCGGTTTGAATTCGTTACTTTTCACGACAGCCTGACGCCAGCCTGACTTCTGGCTTGCAGTAGAGCTCAGCCTCTCCTTCCGATCCTGTCAATGGTCTCAGATTTGAAAGAAAAATACTCGAACACGGTGATATTTTTATTCTATACATCGCTTGTGGAAGGAAAGGGCGAGTGCTGGCAATCACTCAGTCTTCGCAAGTAGAGAATGTCCCTGCTGATTACCAGCTGAGAGACAGCTATTCTGTGCTGTGAAACGAAGGGACGATTCTTGAAGTGGAAGAACAATCGTACTAGATGTGCTGATCTACTTGTATGCAATGTCACCCACAGTGTGTACAAACCTGTAGGCTAAAGCCGGTGTTACACTGGGGTTTTCTGGATCTTCAAAGCACCAGAAGTAGTATGTGTACTATTGAAAGCGCCCATTCCGTCTTGGAGGTGTGCATCACATTGACATTGTGCATGCGGTCTTTTACTAGTACATGTATTTGGTCAGAGTCTCATCTGTGTGTGTGTCTGTCTCTCTGTTTGCTTGTTTGTCGGCGGTTGGTGTGTGTGTGCGCGTGCGCGCGCATATGTGCTTATGTGTCTTCATGTGTGAGCAGTGTGTACTTTGCATGTGCCGTGCACAACTGTTTTGTGTGTGTATGCGCTTGCAATTGCCTTGCATGCGCTTTGAACATGTGTTCGTGTACGTGGTCCGCAGGACTTGTGATTTTGCCTGACCTTTGAAACCAATTGGACTGCCTGCCCTGGCAAGGGACTCTTATTGCCTAGCTTCTTGTTATGGCGGCATCAACAGTAGCACGTAACGCCACTCGACCTGTCGTTGCTTCACAGCTGCTGCTTTCTCGCTCCCGCTGTATCAGTTCGGCGTATTGCCCAGCTGCACCGTGTAGCCGTGTGGTGAAACAGCATACCGGTGCTCCCTGCTCAGTAGCTGTTGTCAGTGCCAGGAATTTGGTGAGTGTAGCGGACACAGGTAGTGGCGAGTACACTGCGTCGCTGGTGACACACCGTCACTGGCAATGCCCCGCGTCACGCAGTGCAGCGCGTCACTATTCCGCTCCACCGCGTCTCACAACCGCAGCGTTGCAAGGGCTGCTAGCGCAAGTGCAGCGTCTCCAGCAGGAACAGCGCAGCAACGGTGGCGGAGCACTGAGCCCGGAGCAGAGGTCCCGATTGGCTTCCGCTTGTCATATGCTGTGCGCTGCGATCGGGTCATGCAGAGCTATCTAAGCCACTGGGCCAACCAGCTCAACGTTCCCGTGGTGTCCGTTGACTACATGACGGCCCCCAAGCACCCGTACCCACGTGCCGTCAACGACTGTTTCTACGCGTACGCCTGGGTGCTGAGGAACGCCACCAGCCTGGGCACCACTGCCGAGAAAGTCATCCTGGCCGGCGACTCGGCCAGAGGTAACTTTGTCTTCGGAGTGGCATTCCTCGCTGCGCAGTACCAGCTTCGGAAGCCATGTCTGGTTCTGGGCGCGTACCCTGCGCTGAAAATCTCACTGGATCTGTCACCGGCACGCTGCCTAAGCGTAATGGATCCGCTGTTACCCATTGGAACGCTGCGGGCATGTTTGAATGCGTACCGGGGGAGTGGCAGGTGAGATACCAGTTCTTCTTTTCCTTGGAAATTTCACTGTACAGTGCATTCCTGGGATTAGCAAATTAGAATTGGCAAACGTTGGCATCTTTGGATAGTGACAACTGATAAGAGGTGCATAGACTGTCACTCCAGTAAAAATTCCTTCGGTGCAAATAGGATTGCCCATTTCACAATACCCTTACCTTGTAATGTGAACAGTCGGCGTGGAGACAGTAACTTTTAAAATTATAGCTAACGTGGTTGCGGTATTGGTGTGTGACAAGCAAGGTGGCATGAAATAAAAGTTAAACTTCAACATTAAATACCCAGGGTCTAACACCCTTTTCTCCTTTCATCGGGTGTGGAGTGCTGTTTCGACGACCCTGCGTATCCTTTCCCAGACCTCAGGTGTGAAGTACCTCACCTGTGAATCACTGAGGTGGATGTCCCCTAGAGGTACGCTCAGGGAGTACGTAAATACCACCGTTTTACTACTCCCTCATACGTTCTACTGAAGTTTGACTGTATGCGACGTAGTGACAATGATAGGCATTACATTACTTTGTCCACGCCAACGTAGGCACCTTCTCTGGGTTGGTTGCTCAGTGCACCCAATGTGAGAGCTGTTCGCACAATATGGGACGGAATTGGCTGTAGGCTGCAGTCTCCCTCTGCGTGTGTGTGTGTGTGTGTGTGTGTGTCCACGTGTACAACGGTGAAACTACACCAAGTCACGTTCTTAGCACATCGACAATCAACTTTCACACTTCATGTCTTGTGCTTATGCAATGTGAAAGAACCTACAGTGCCTACTCAATGAAATCCAGTCGAGTCACTCACGTACGTGCTGGGCGTTGCACTAGACCTGCGAACACTGGGCTGCGAAATGGCGCAAGGCGCAAACTTGACTCACGCGACCGGATTTCATTGAGCAGCACTGTACTTTAAAGTGCTTTGCTGTGACTTTGTCACTTTCTGGTTAGCTGTGATTTTGTCACTTTCTGGGTAGCTGTGTATGCTGTGCACAACCGGATTTCTTTGAGCAGCATTGTATGGTTTTGTCACTTTCTGGGTAGCTGTGTGCACATCACCTCAAGCTTTGATTTTCATCACCTGGAATTGAAACAAAACTGCATCGCTTCCTTTGTCCTGCTTTCTTTATCTGATGCAACGTTGGTGATAGATGAGGACAGAGAGCTCTGTGACTAGAGGCAGGTGTTTGGTGGACGTGGACCGTGTGATTTGCCTTTGCCCTTGCTATAGTCTCCTTAAAGTCATCGGAATCCACTCTCTCAGTCTCTCAGTCTCTCTGTGCTCGCACTGCTAGGCTATGCTGTGGATGTACTCCGCAAAGCTGATTGCTCTGTGAGTACCAGTTCATGGTGTTCTTCTCTTGTCCTGTCCAGCATGCCAGAGTATCACCCGAACACCGGTCACCTGTCACAGCTGCAGTCGGGCATCCACCAACGTCATGCCACCATCCTGAATGCTTCGCCGGCCTACCTCTCTCCACTGATGGCCAGTGATGAGATGCTGCACAGCTTACCATCGGTTGCATTGCTGGTAAGCCACTATAGCACACATGGCAGTACGGTATGAGCTATGCATTCGCATACCAGTAGCTGAGGAGTGCTAATTCCGTACTTATAGTATTGACAAACTAGCCTATTGATCAGGAACTGTCCGCAAATACACCCCTGTCCAAAACTCTTTCGAGAAGGAACCTTTCCGATGCCCCGGAAAACCCAAGCACTGCTATACCACACGTAGGTGTGTGAATTGTGACTAGATGCAATAGTCATGTACATGTAATCAAGTTAGGCAACATGTGCAATTTTGGAAGTGTGTTTCACCAAAAAGGAGACCTAGAGTAGAGAGTCTTCTGTGTAGTCTCTACATGTGACATGATGAGCATGTAAACAACCTAATTCTGAAGTACATGCACATGTACGTACTTCACAGGATCTGCTGGAGCCACAGAGTCAGAGGTCACCAATGTTGTGACAGGCCCTGGCCTGGGTGTGATATACAGTCAGACCTCGCTTATCCGGATCCCTCGCGACCCAGAAGAAAATAGCTGGCTACGGATTTACAGCATACGTGATGCATCCAATGTAACCGGTGTTCGGTTATCCAGTTCCCTCGCCTATCCGGATATTTTTGTGGAAAACGGATGTGTGCGGTTAAGCGAGGTCTGACTGTACCGTTAGCATTTTCAAGCCTTACTGATCAATGCAAGGAGCAGTCTGTGTGTAATGAGTAGCTATGTATGGAGCAGCTAGTCTGTGTGTAATGAGTAGCTGGCTATGTGAGTTCCATAGAAAATCGATTGTGCCTGAGACATATTGCGTGTCTGGGAAGGGGTGTTAATAGAGAGGTTAAGCTTTACGTGACACGAAAGTTCAGCTCGCGCGTTGGAAAACGCGAGTGACCTGCAGCTCACGTCGAATTTTGGAGGTTTACGCCTAATTTGACGTGATATTGCGCATTACGTCAGAAATAACGTGCAGCTTTACCTCTCTCTAATAGTCAGTCATGTGAAGTGTGTACAGAGCACCTTGGTAAGCACATATAGATCATCTACATGTATGTGCTGGACCCTGCTAGGAATGGGAAGGTGGGTTACTAGCACCCCTTCCACAGAGAGTAGTGTGCAGTATGAGCTGATAGAACTTCCATGACAGCGACCTCCATTGGAGAAGGACCCCTGCTGTCTAGTGGAAGAGTTGCCTGAGGCTCAGCCGTACTTCTTATCGGTATCTTTGAGTACAAGAACATTTCAACATGCTACATTATTGTGCTCCTTTGTGGGTGTTCAAGTAAGAAAGCTAGTTTCTTTGCCGATAGATTTCTTCGTGCTATGGGTCATCTCTTACTCTGTGTGTGTGTGTGTGTGTGTGTGTGTGTGTGTGTGTGTGTGTGTGTGTGCCAGTTCGGTTGGTAGGTACACTTATGCCTGATTGCGTTGGGTCTGTTGCCAACAGGCTCGGCTGCTTGAAGGTGTAATGTTGTACCTGCCACCTTTGTTGGTTCCAGGGTTCATATACTTTCTATTTGAAGTATACATACCTGTCAACCATGGACTGCTTCTGGCTAGATTAACTCTTGTGTAATCAATGGTGCTAGTGAAGCTTTTATCAGATCCACTCTGATTTAGCCACTCACACTAGTAGCAAGTATTACCTTCACTGGGGGCAGGGGTAACTGCAGTTGGATCCCGGGACGGATACCCTGATGCCGTCAATCCTTTTTCTGCACCTTGTCCTCACCCACTTACTGAGGTGTGGTGAGCCCATAAGTGGGGTCATTTTCAAGTCCACCCAGAGTTTTGGGGATTTCAGGGGGTGTCGGTCGTTGGGCGGTTCAATAACCAATTGAGTCATCTTTCCAAGATTCCTTTTGAGTCTCTCTCCCCTCTCCCGGGGGGACTCACGTGACCAGTTTTGGTAGTGAGCAACAAGTACAAGTACAGTGTGTGCCAGCTAGTTCAGTTGGTGGGTACACTTATGCCTGATTGTGTTGGGTATGTTGCCAACGGGCTCGGCTGCTTGAAGGTGTAATGTTGTACTTGTCACCTTTGTTGGTTCCAGGGTTCATATACTTTCTATTTGAAGTATACATACCTGTTAACCATGGACTGCTTCTGGCTAGATTAACTCTTGTGCAATCGATGGTGCTAGTGATGTCTAAATCAGATCCAGCCTGATTTAGCCACCCGCACTAGTAGCAAGTATTACCTTCACTGGGGGCAGGGGTAACTGCAGTTGGATCCCAGGACGGATACCCTGATGCCGTCAATCCTTTTTCTGCACCTTTTCCTCACCCACTTAGGGGCCGTCCAATGTTACCTATAGTATTTTCAAAACGAAATGTTTTCGTTTGGGGGTGGGTGGGTTTTAGGAGTTTCGTTTTGAAAATAATTATTGAATGTACACGGAGTATGCCCAGTTATGTCTGGGGGCCGAAGATTGAAATCAATATTTTTTTGGGTTGCGTTTTACCTGCGGAAAGGGTGGGTGGGCGGGTGGGGGTTGAAAAATACTAAAATGTTTCGTTTCGCAGAAACAATCGGTAACCCCGGACGGCCCCTTACTGAGGTGTGGTGAGCCCATAAATGGGATCGTTTTCAAGTCCACCCAGAGTTTTGGGTATTTCAGGGGGTGTCGGCCGTTGGGCGGTTCAATAACCAATTGAGTCATCTTTCCAAGATTCCTTTTGAGTCTCTCTCCCCTCTCCCGGGGAGACCCACGTGACCAGTTTTGGCAGTGAGCAACAAGTACAGGTGTGTGTGTGTGTGTGTGTGTGTGTGTGTGTGTGTGTGCGTGCGTGCGTGTGTGTGCATGTCTTTCTCTCTCTCTCTCTCTCTCTCTCTCTCTCTCTCTCTCTCTCTCTCTCTCTCTCTCTCTCTCTCTCTCTCTCTCTCTCTCTCTCTCTCTCTCTCTCTCTCTCTCTCTCCATCCGTTCTGTTGTACCTTTCAGCCAAGTTCATTTGACCCACTCTTGGACCGACGTGTGCATTGAGTTGATGGACGCAGCAATCAAGCAACACGACCAAGATGTTTAGTCGTGATACAAGTAGTTCCTATTGCAGTACGAGATGTCACCACTCATGCGTTCTCAGTGCAGCACCGGACCTTTGCCCATTGGCACTCATTTTACGAGTATTGAACTATTTTTTTTAAATAGCAAGGTCCATAATTAGTTTTATTACCAAGCATCAAGTTGAAGTGGTTTGCACTAGTGTGACCCATGCTACCGGCATACCGACAGCTCTTAAACAAAAAATAATGCGGTGCCTACGTTATTGCTGATATAAATATGTGGCTAGTAGGGTAGTGAGTCAACACAGTAAAGACATATACACCAGTTCTATGTGCGATAGTGCAGATCTGATACTTGCTGGATATAACATTGGAGGTTAGCGTCAATATGCACTTGGAACACTAGGGACAGGCCAGCCGTCTAGATAACTACATTATCATACTCCCATCAGAGGGTGTACATGATTTAAACATACACATAAAACGAGGCACTCAACTGTGAATGTACAAAGAGCCATGCGAACACGTAGTTTATGTCTTTTTCTTAGCCTTGGCGCGGGGCACCTTCGTGTCCGCGGATGCCCATGCCTTGAGGGCAAACAGCTTCTTGCCCAAACAGCTAGTTCAACCTACAAGTACACCGTGTAAACACAGAGATAACACTGTGTTACATGTGTGTATCAAGACTCGCTGACTGAAGCCTGAGGACTCACGAATCATGCATGCTCATATCACATGTGCGCATGCGAGACAGGAGACAGTTTGGGGAATGTCATCACACAGGAAAACAATACTAGCACATCGTTACACCACTGGCACTATGATAGGCATGTGACGTCACCCGGATGATGTGGATACATGAATGCAAGGGTATCCGGGATGTGAATACAAGAACACAGACAACAGCACAATAGGCACACAGCTACAGGAAACAACGCGAGGGGCAGTACCCAGAGCACACACAGGGAAGCAAACAATCACATGATCCGCTAGGCAGCAGCAGGACAACAAAACAGCCTAAGGACTACGAGATCTCGTATACTTAGCAGCAGGACAGACACATCCATTACTGGTCACATCAGCCGGCGGAGCACCCGCAACATACCTTGTTCTTGATAAGCTGTCCACGATTCTTAGCTCGTTCTGAGCGGAGGTTGATGGATTGGAACATCTTTACAAATTGAACATACCTGCAGAGGACATTGTAGGTCCACAAGAACTTGTCATAACACGAACCCACACATAGCCTAGAGGGATGATCCTTTCCCACCAACGACTACTACCGTACTGGCAATATATGTTGCCGCGTAACGCGTAACGCAGGGGGGTGCGGCGTAACGTGCGACCAGGCTAGTGCGACAAATTTTCGTTGCGTTCGTAACGCGCGTCCGGCGGGGTGCGGCGATCTTTTCATTGCAGTTTGCAAAAAACGATGCGGCAATAGCAAAAAAAGGACTGCGGCAATATAGAAACCTGTGTAACGGCTCCTGTGCGACTTTGCATGTAACGCCCTGCGTGCGGTAAACATGTGCCAATGTAACGCTTCATGGCCTCACTGCGACCATATATATTGCCAGTACGGTATTCAAGACTTCAAGTACCATAGTATAATACAGTCATGTCAGTAGCCTATAGGGATAAGCAGCCCATAATTAAGTTCTCCGTATTCAAGGAGGGTCTAGATGCTGCTAGATATACGGAGAGCATCATCTACTCATGTACCGTAGAGCAGAGCTTTATCATAGATATCAGTCTGGTTGGTGAGAACTGAGGCCGTGTTTACATGAAGCGTTTCAACCCGGGTTGAGTTCGACCCGGGTCAGATTTCAACCCGCCATGTGCACAAAGTGAATGGTGCGTTTACATGACGCATTGCGCTTGACCCGGGTTGAAATTTCGCCCCGGGTTGATTTCAACCCTCCCGGGTCAAGAAAATCGTACAAACGTACTTCTGTGCGTATCTCGCGCCAGGTTTGAACAGCACTGCAGATGCAAATTTCGCGCGAACGGATTCACGTGACCATACAGGACTGTAGAAGTGGACTTTTGGCGGCATATCAGTATTTGACCCGGGTCAACTGTCTTCATGTAAACGCTCACCTCTTTTGTCTATCGTACAGACTTTCAACCCGGGCTGAACTCGACCCGGGTTGAAATTTCTCATGTAAACACAGCCTGAGTAGGCGGGAAAGCACCTAGTACAAACCACTGCATCAAACTTTAAAACAAATACGGACACACACACACGAGCGCACACTCATACACACACGCACACGAATACTCATATACGTAGCAGTGTTCTGACGTACCTTGCCCGCGTGCTGTTGTTGGGCCGACTGCCGTGCGCCACACGCTGGTCCCAGATGAGTAAGCTGCCAGCACGCATGGGTACTCTCTGGGGCTGTTTGTACATGGGATCATGGCCATGCACAGGTATAAAGTAACATAGTTCTACAAAGAGAACACAGAGATCACAAGTAACAACCAACCATTTGAATGGTAAAGTAGTCGTTGTTGATGAAATCCAGCACAATAAAACATCAGTACCCCGCAGCAGTACACAGACAACTGTCCCTGTGGGCAACAACTGTATGGTCCTGACCCTAGTCGAGCATGATAAGGCTGGATTTTGCTGGACATGACAGTCGTTTTAAAAAGCAGCACAGTCCCGGAGAAGGTTGCAGGAGAAAACAAGTACCTGTAGAGAGAGTTTTTTTTTTGCAGATTTAGGTTTATATTGCTCCAGGAATGGTCAAGGGTGAACAAGGGTCTTGTCAACTGCACAAAGGTGTTGTTTGTTGCTCGGACCGCGGTCACGTTCTCAGTACTGAATATCACACCAGCCTTGTCGCGCTATACATTGTGCCGTGGTGGTCACAGGTGAACGCGTTGGAGTGTAGCTTCTCAACAGAGCCTACAATACAAAGTCATGGCGAGTGTGCCGTTATCACCGTTTGCATGAAGCCTCAGATGTCCAGGAGTGATTCTTAGTTTCTTACCTTGCCTTTGGCTCAGCTCCCCGGCAAGTTTTCCTGTTTCTGTAGTTACGTCATGACCAGTATGGCACTCAGCTGTGGGGTAGCTAACGATGAACCTAGTAGGGTGCAGAGAAAAAAACACGTATACATCATACATTAAAAATCCGGTTTGCATCAGCTGTGGATTTTTCAACTCCCATCCTCCCTGCAGAGAAACGAACGGAACTTTGGTATAATTAGTCTGATGTGATATTGAGTCGCGTGATATTGCAAGATAACACACAAATGTCACACATTGAGTGCCAGATTAGATAACATTCATTATCACTTATATTATGTAACATGGACAAATGTGGGCACAAGTTATGCGATTGAGTCTACCAACTAAGCCAGATTTTGAACAGTCAGACGTGCACAATCCAGCACAAAACTGACAAGGAGCACGGAGACATTCCACGGCATGAAAGTGCCTTGTGCCCACATTTTTCCATGTTACATTTTTTTCTTGGCTCACCATCTGAGTTCCTATCTCTTATGTGTTGAGTTATAGTATTCTTGAATTGTGTTCAGTTTATCATCATTATAATAAGGTCGAGCATTGAAACAATTGTTTTCAGAATCAGAATATTCTTTGAAATGCTGATAAGTAGTTGATACGTGTGGATAACACAAGTGGTTATTTGTAGAGGTTATTCTTCTGGCAACTTTTTATTTTCGAAGAGAATTGGTGAGCACACATGCTCATTCCCTGGGCACTGCAAATTCACAACTCATTTCATTTCACATAATCATTTTCAACGTTTCGGCAAATTGCCATCATCAGGATACAACTTTTTATTTTGCCATTTGTTTGGATAATGAACCTACCGTTCGCACAGACTGAGCTCACACAACTTCTCAGCTTCAAGGGCAGTCGTAACTGACTTCTTTAGTTTCTCCAGCTGGGTGTTGTGTCCTCCACCTTGTTTCATGCTGTCAAACTAACAACATGTGTGAACTATAACAAGGTTTATCTAATACTAGTATTGTACTAGTATTGGGTTATATAATAGTACTTATCTGTATCAGAGGGTCCCGGGCATCATACAGGCGTAGGAATAGGGCCTTTGTAAATAGCTGCCGTTCTTTGCCAGTATGGTATAGGTAATGTTTTAATGTTTCTGTCTCTTTTTTGTGTAGCCCTAATATAATGTGCACCAAATTAATAATAAGGCCTCGCAAATCTCAACTATTTTCAAGCATTTTCGAGAACTTTTTGCGTAGAGTGCACGCGTTTTGAATCTTGGGTGGTGCGTACAACCTCATCATCGGGCTCATGACGTCAGTATGCTAGTACAGCCTTTTTCGCTTTCGGAGTTTCGCTGTGACAAGAAAGGAACTAGCTGTCCTTGATCTGTTTTCGACTGCGGCGTTGCGCGACCGGAAGACGAAAGAGCTACACAACAAGGTACTGCTCGTCCGATTCCATCTACATGTAGCAAATGAATAAATAACTTTCCACATGGAAAGAAATCCAGCAACATCCAGCAGTGGTGAAACAGCTGGGCACTTTGGCAAGTTTATTCAAGTCATGATTTTGAGATTTCCTGTATTCCCTCATCGTAGCGATGATTAGGATTACTTGCATCCTTTTTACCCATAGACTAGTAGGAGGCAACGTGGTGTCATCGGCATTTATAAGAGAGCCACTTTCATCGACGGTCTCATCAATTTATCATAAAAGCAGCTGATACTATCGCCCGTTGCAGAGTTCTATTCGACTTACAACATTACAGGACAGTGACTGGTAATCAACTGCAAAATGGTGCAGCCCTCAGTGATGCAGGTGAGCTTCACATGCACATGTGGCATTGAACTGTTTCTGCATGTGTGAATTGTGCCTTTTGAAAATGTTATCATTTGGCCTGCCAAGGTGGGGGCAATCTCTGGAATTATTAATTTCTTGGCCAAAGAGTAGTCCTGTACTACATCCGCAGGAGTAGTTTCTTTCAAAGGCCGAAACTCTTCTGGACTAAAGTGACGTGTGTGGACCCATAACTGTGTAATGAAGGTTGTCGGCCTGCGAGTGTATGTGGGTGTGTTGCATTTTAAAGTTTTCATTGTTTGCTCGAATTATCCTCTGCATGCAGCCAGGGCCTGCCACCGACTTTAGCTACTCAAGTTCTGCAAGTACCACACGTACCGCTTCAAGGCATGTTGGGCAATAAGACAGACTTGAATTTGCAGCGAGTAAATCCTGGAAATATTGATTGACTCGTGTGGGTTAGTTCAACGAGGGCTTCCTGGCAAGAATACAAGCTCATGGCTAATCTGCTACATCCGAGTCAAGATGCTGTCGGCAATTCCAACATGACATGATCGGAACCCGCTAAGACAGCAGAAATTGTGTGATCCAGGTACATGTAGTATCACTGGTCGTTGAACAGGGCCTAACCAATGCCGCCCAGGATCAGAGTAACTGATGACAGCTGAGCTTAGCCATATTTAGAGACAGGATATGGATTGTAATTTTGGAAGATTGTAAACAAGTCGTGGAGCAGACATGTCATTATCTTGCCCATGCTGAGTTTGATATGTTGGCACCTGTCTTGGTCTGGAGGAAAGCAGAACTTTTAGGCAGCACCGGAATATAACCAAGCAGAGGAGATGCATGTAGGAGCGTTAAATCCCGCGGTACCAATTAGCCTTTGACTTTCCGGGCCTTTGTACCCCTTGTGCATTGCGTTCTGCCCACCAAAGGCAAGGGGCAGTGTAGCAGGTAAAAGGCCCACTGTCGTTCTGTATATGCTGTACTAGTTTGAACATTACCATGTACGTCTCCAATGCCGTGAACCCTTTGATAGGCCTGGCTTTGGTTCATCCTAATAAAGATCGCTATTATTATGACGTGCGCTGTCTTCTCATATGATACCAGTATACACAAATCCCTTCTTGTTGGTGCATTACAGTTCATTCCCCATACTTGTAGATTTAGACACAAGCACAGACTACTTGCTGCTTGGAATTTTATTTTACCGTACAATGTACGTGTCCGTTCAGAAAGTGATGTACGAGGTGAATAGCAATTTCTGGACATGAAAATAAAATAGAGCCCCACTGGCTGTGTGTTTCACATTTTTCATATCTTTTTGTATCTATTGTATGGTCTAATCCTTCATCTTTCCAAATATGTGACAATTGCTCATGCTGTGATCCCAGAGACTTTATAGCAGGACGTTTTCGACAGGCCAATTTTTCGGCCTAAATTTCAGTGTATGGAATTCTGGACATGAAAGTAAAATAGCGTCAATAGGCATCCTATACTGCACCATTTTTGTTATATTTTCTATTGGTGGACTGCAGTTGGCCTCTTCACACTTCCAGCCAACAGGTCCAAGACTACCGGTATACAGCGTCTGAAGTGGAGTCCACATGGGGAAGCCAACGATTCGTCCATTACTTCTTATTTTACTCAAAATTCAAAATTCTCATGCGACATAGTACAACAAAACCCGTTGAAATGCCGCACAAGCAAAGGCTATCAACAAGGCACCGACACGAGGAGAAACTACAACAGCCCAGCTGTCAACTACGGCAAGAAAAAACTTCATCAACCGGACTGACTTGACTCTACACGCGACGAAAAATTATTTTACTCGAAATGTCCAGAAATGTACAATGTCCAGAAATAGCAATTCACCTCGTACGTGTCACTGTCTTTTCCAGGTATCAATCATTACGTATCAGGCCTGAAATAGCAGGTTGACGCTCTTAGCTTCAGGATTATCCCAATAGACAGTTGTTCTTCTGATTTGGTAGCACTTTTGAAGTTGATTGATTCTTTTTTATTGTCATTTTGAAGATCGTTCGTGGTTGCCATGGTAATCATGAAGAAAAGAGTTCTTAATCTCGTTTCAAAACACTTCAGTTAGAATGATTGGAATAAATACATGGAGATGCCAATAGCAAAGTGGCGTAAAAGTAACACAAAGTGACACAAATCCTAATTTTGTATCCGGTTGCCATGGTAATTATAGGCAATTTCAATCGCAATTTTCACCACCTTTCAGAAAGTTCTGAGAATGACAACAAGTGGTAGGGTGATCTACACATGGCCCTCTATCATATGAGCCAAAAAAATCGTGGTACACCCAAAGTGGGAACGGGAAGTCACATTTTGCCCACTTGGCTCCTGTACTACAGGGCGTCAAAATACTTTGAACGCGGTATTTGACGACTCCCTGATATGTACATGTACCTAATTATTAATTATTGTTTGTCTCTTTCCCTCAAACCAGTTAGTACATAATTATGTAGTAGTTTTCGGCAAAACTTGCCGGATTATGCTAGCGCAATAGTCTCCAAAACTCGGAGTGCTCATCATGCTCGATATCTGACATATAAATGCTAGCATTATCCGCAGGCGTAGGCATTGGCGGATAATGCTCGAAAAGGTGGCAGATTCTGCTCAAAAAGCAGTGAAATTGGCAGAACCATACAAACCTTATGGCGGTCAATTCCTCGAATTCTGCTCCATTTCTTTATCCACATACCGAACATGCATGAAACTTACCAGAAAAAGTACCGAATTCTGCCAATTTTTCTGCCGGCAATCGGCATTATCTACCGGTAGTGCACTCTGGATAATGCAGAACCGGCACTCCAATCCAACAGTATAATTTATTATAATTACCCGGGTATAGGATTTGTCAAAAAACTGACGTGTCCTCTCTAAAACACCTCTATATTTAAAGTCAAGCGTGGATAATGCTGGCACTCGTAAAAGCTTCTGAAGAGAACCTACTGATATTATGATACTTAACACACAATTTATCCCAGGCAGAAGCATGGTCATGATTATTGGAAAAAATTCAAAAAATCCTAGGATTTGCCGGACACGGCTATAGACTAGAGCGAGATTTGCATTTCAAAGATACCATGTGCCAGTGCTTTAGAAAAGTATAAAAATCATTTACGTAAATGGCTGCTTTGGAAATTGCGGTGCCTTGAAAAATGAAAATAGAAGGTGCTAAAGTTGAAGATACATGTTGTACGAAAGGCAAAGAGACAGTAAAAATGAAAATCAAATGCAGGAATAAAAGACGAGCAGAATGTGATTACGCAAACCGGTTCAACCGGCAACAGCAATTATTTGTGAAAATGTCTGCTGTGAAAATTGCAGTTAAGAAGAAATTAAAGAAGCTGGGCTTTGAAAATGCATCGTAAAATGAGAAAAAGGGTAGCCAAAGAGGACTGAGAACTTCAAGTCCCCGGGATAGGCAGAAAGGAGGCCGCGCAGAACCTGATAATGCTATGAGCACACCGGTTCAACCGGAAAAGAATTAAAAAAAATGTTCCGCTATTCGACATGATGACGTCGGACTAGTGCGCTGCTTTACCAGTAGGGTCTAAGCTCAAAGACGTACTTCGAAGTACTAGACACGTTGGCAAATACGGACCTAAAGCGAGGTTCTAAGTCACCAAGATAGACTATGTAGAGATATGTTTTTGAGAATAAAAAGAAATTGAATGACAATTCAGCACAACTCAGACAATCTATCTAGACTCTAAACATGGGTACTGTGCATGGAACAACGGGCACGCGGGGAAATCCAGCATTCTCATGGTGAACTATGGCGTAAAAAACTATAATTATCTTTGAAAATGTACTAGGCGAAAACAGTATCTGGTGAAAAAAATGTTCACGGTTCGCTTGAGACTCGGCCAAAGGCCCAGTTTTCCACATCCGCAGGAACGCCAGCACCCTCTCGGATCAAGGCACAGATGCAGCTCCTAACTAAGCTAAGGTGGGAGGTGAATCATTTAAAAGTAATCGTATGTACATGGAAGTAGGAGAAGTAGGAGAAAATAGTTCTTTAGAAAGAAAAGAAAAAAAGCTGTGGTTGTGTGCGGATGTGTGTGAGAAACAGATCACTCTATCAGTTGCCATGACCACCATGTCCTACTGCCAGTCATCAGGCTTTCTGCCAGTCCTCAGGCTTCAACTCT